TCTGTTCACTTCTATATCTGATCACAAACAACCTTCAGAGAGTAAAAAACTGTTGTGTGCTAAACTCACAGAAGTTCCTCTTTTGGCCACTACCCTGGAACTATACAGGGAAGGAGACCCTGGGAAATGTAGTTTCAAGATCAACTAATTGACAAGAGGACAATCCAGCACAACCTAAATGTCTGCCTAAATTATCTCTGTAAAGCTCTTTAAGGGCCCAGAGAAAAATTCAGAGGGTGTAGCTTTTGAGCAATGACAAGCAAAGCCTTGAGCCATTGAGTCTGTAGGACGGCCCTTGTTGGTTGATCTCATGCCTCATAGGAGCATGAGTGCCATTGGCTATGGAATCAGAATGCTGCGATTGTGGACCAGAGCCACCACTTGCTAAATAATGACCTTGTCTGATTCATTTGGGTCATCTGGGTTTCAGGTTTCTCATCTATAAAATGAGAATAATTGCTCCCACGCTACCTTCTCCATCTACTGCTCCAAGGAACCAATGGGTAGCTATCTATAAACTCTGATAACTTTATGGACATGTGGAAAGCAGCTGTATCTGTCATTCCACAGAAATTTGGCCAAAGTTTCTGCTGTCCTGCCCTAGTTTTGCCTAGGAGTTTTTATACTGTTTCTACTAAGGTAGAAGATTCATAGAAAACAGACTCTGGCTTCTCCTCCTTAGATCTCTCTTTCCAGATTTCTTTCCTCAATAGAACCCCTTTCTTATGTCAGGTGTTGGTTAGAAAGGAGGGGTGGTTGAGACTCTGAATACTCCAAGTTCTGTCTGGACTGTAATGTGGAGAATGCCAAAATATATTTATTTGTTGCATGAGCTTCATATGCAAGTCCCCTGCTTCTGGGAATGTGAAATTTAGTAGCAGAATAAGTTAAGTACTCAAATGTGTATGTGTTAGGGCATTGTCGGGCTATAGTTACTGCAGTGAAAGACAGGTAGTTCAATTCCCCTCTGCCTGGATGCTCTCCTTACTACCCCTCACTCTCTAGCTGCTCACCTTTCAGTCCCCAGCTCAAAGAACATTTTCTTCTTCCTAAATGTTTTCTGATTCCCCTCATCTGGATGCTATTTTTTTCCATTTTTTACCCCCCCCCCATTACTTCCTTTCTTTCACTCCAATAATTATAGCCTGACAATGCCCTAAAACATATACATTTGAGTACTTATTCTCCTACTAAAATTCACATTCCCAGAAGCAGGGGACTTTCATATGAAGCTCATGCAACAAATAAGTAATTTTTGGCATTCTCCACATTACAGTCCAGACAGCACTTGGGTTATAAATGATTGTTGAATTAAGTTGAAAGAAAACAAATTGGGGACATGCATCCATGTGCTGGTGTCTTAAATAACAATAGCCTGAAAGGACATGGTTGCCCATAATAAGATAAAGAAAAATGAAGAGTCTGTGATCCCCAACCAGATAATTCTTGGTTCTCTATTATCATGAATTTTGTGTCATCATGCGATAAGGCATTTCCCTCCATCTTGTTAATATGATGGCCCTAAAATGGGACAGTCCAAACAAGAGCCAGGGCTCAACCTGTACTCAGAAATAAATGATTTTTATAGAATATTACAATTCATAGCAGCAGCTGCAAATCTTAACCAGGGCCAGTGACCCCCTCTGTTTAGGTTACAGCTGGAACTTTCACTGAGCCACATCCTCTCTGGGAGATAGTTCATGCACCCAAGATAGGATTTCAAGAGGCCCTTGAACCGGAAAAGTTGTTTGTCAAAGTGTCTATGTCTTTTGTCACGGGCGCTCTGGGTTGTTGGGTTTCTTTCTCCAGGGTCAGAAAAGTTCCAAAAGCAAAATTGATATCAGAAAATGCTTGTGATTATCTCTTTACTCTTAAGCAAGTCACTTCCCCTCTCTAGATCTCAGTTTCCTCTAGAACAGTGGTTCTCAACCTTCCTAATGTTGCAACCCTTTAATACAGTTCCTCATGTTGTGGTGACCCCCCGGCCCCCAACCATAAAATTATTTTCGTTGCTACTTCAACTGTAATTTTGCTACTCTTATGAATCATAATGTAAATATCTGATATGCAGGATGTATTTAGGCGACCCCTGTAAAAGGGTCGTTCAACCCCCAAAGGGGTCGCGGCCCACAGGTTGAGAACTTCTGCTCTAGAAGGAGGTCAATTGAAATAGCTGTGAAAGGTCCCTCCCTCCACCTCTGATATTCCAGGATTCTATTCTGAGCTGCAGGCTAAATTCCCAGAGTCCCAAGGCCTTTTCTTTCCTGCTTCCAAAGGTATATATGGTTCAGATTTTCCCATGGGTCTCAGCTGGGGTATTCTTACCTGTTCTCTAAAATAGTGTGGCTCTGCAGGTGATTACTTTATCTGCCATCATAAAAAGGTCCCTAAGCCTGGAATATATGAGGAGGTAAGTTATTTATCACAGACCTTTATTAGGTCTCTTCCTTACAAATTATCTCTGATTGGTTTCACTTAGAAGTGTCTATGCTCCAGGCATTACAGACCCCAAAGACCCTGGGGTACCAAATTACAGGAAGGAGGCTGCTATGTCTGGAAGTGTTACTGCTCAAGACATCACTATTCATAATTGTTTTTGTATTATATTATTACAGACCACAAACAAGTCCATCAGATTCTTTAGCAGGAAGCAATGTGTGTGTTGAAACCCCTGCTCCCATTTCCTAGTATGTATGAATGAATCTGTATGTATGGATATTATAATTTGGTAGAATACTAGTATATCAAAATTAGAAGAGAACATAGAACTCAACTATTTCAAACCCCTGTTCTATTAGGTGGATAACCGAGAACTAACAAGGAGGTGACCATATAACAGTTTATTGTAGACCAGGAATAGGGGTCAGGACCTCTAACTATACCTTCCATTACTCCAAAGCTGTGGCTACCAAGACAGGGCACTCCAGCTCATGCAGTTACTCATAGCACAAGCCCTTTCCCAGGCCCTCACTCCAAACCTATTTAGTCTTATTTTTATTAAGTTCTAAGAAGAGCAGTTTAACTTGTTTCTATTTTACAACATTTCAGCTAATAAACTCATAAAGATACAGGAAATAAAACAGTACATAAAGAGGACATAAGAATTACAAAGGCATTATAGTCTGGGGATGATCCGTGTAGGGTAAGCAACATTGCACAAGGCAATATCCCCAAGATGGCTGATGTTCATAACAATCCCTGAGTCCCAACAAAGGGTTGGCATGTTTCACCTAAGAAAGAAAGGTTTTGTATAAAGCACTTTAAAAAGTATTATACCAAAGAATTGTTTTACTTTTTTAAAATTATAATTAAGTAAAACTTCAGCTATCTTTAAAACTCAGATAATGAAAATAACAAACCGGCTGTGATGTTCAAGGAAGTGACATTTCAGCTGCGTGCATATAGGCACATTCTACAGTGATAAGTCTGGTGAAGTTTGGCTAGTATCTGCAGAGAAAAGAAATAAATAGCAAAGCCATGATCTCATCTTCTGTTTACACTTCAATTCCCAAAGTTAGCGATTAATTGTCCTTGTGTTTTGTTGCCAGGGCAAATTGTTTTTCTTTAAAACTCCCACTTATTTTAAATAAATAAATCATTAGTTTCAAAACAGAAGTGTCAAATGTCAAGATACTCTGGCATACTAAACTAAATGAACAAAACAATGAATTCATTAGAATCTACTAGAGATAGGCAGCCTTTGAGAACTTTCCTTTAATGACTTTAAAGGCAGCAGAAATTATTCTTGGTGAGAGATTTTCTTATGCATCTTGACTAAAATCAGTCTAGAAGTTGCAAGTACAAATAACAGGCTTACAAGAATTGGGAAAGGTGTAAGCAATAGAGTGATAGGTAGGCCAAGCATTTGTGGTCAAATAAATAATATCAAATAGCTGCTATACAGTGCTTCCCAAATCAACACACACAATCACTGTTAGGCAACCAGTTTGAGATCTCTGCTTGGGTCTCTGGCTCTTCCAATGTAATGAATTCTTTTAGCAAATAGGCAATTTTTACATCTGAGTCTTAGTACAGACATACTCAAAAATATACTATTTCTGGATGATCCCAGTAGTTTTGGTATTATTAAGACTACCTATTAAATGTAGTTCTGATGACATGTCTTTCCTGTTCAAAAGTTTTCAATGTCTTCCCTTTATTCACAAAATTCTTCCCTTTATTCACAAAATTCAAGGTCAACCATAATCTGACTAAATAAAAATAATCACCCATCTTTCTAAGTGTGTCGCCTACAATCTGTGTGTCTCCTACAATCTCCACAGATTACCTGGCTTCTCATTGTTCTCAAAATGGGCCTTGTTCTTTGAGTTCTTGATAACAAATAACTGCTATGTGCCAGGTACTGTTCCATGCACTGAGGACACATCTATAAAGAAAACAAAGTCTTGTTGTCCTGCAGCTTACATTCTAATGGGGATATTTCACCTTCTTCTGAGTGCATCCCCAGTGCTTGTTTCCATTAAACCACCTGTCACACTGCATAAGAGCTCTGTGTGTTTTCATCAGTCTTAACATGCACAGCTCTATGTCTTCTTCTTCTCTCATCATCCCCATCACCTATTTTGCCCAGTGTCAGCACACACTGAATGCTCAATGAATGACTTATATTGTATATAAAGTTTCTTTTCTTTGGAAATGTGCTAAATTTCTGTTGCATATAAAATCCATCTGTGAGGTTTTCTCTTTGTTAATTTTAACATTGAGTTATTTTCAACAAAGAAGCCATTTGGTTGTCAACAGGAATAAAAAAGGTCAAGCTACTTCTGATGGATCTAAACAAAATGAATGAAACAGTGATTGGATGGCCACTTTTACTTAAACTGTAATGTTTCTTTCCTTAAATCCCATAATCCCTAATCCCTATCCTTTGGATTTCCCAGGCTGCTTGGTCTACCTCAAGGGAAGCCCCTCCCTCTTTTCTACTGAAGAAGCTAATTTGTGAAGCTGCTCATTTGTTCCCTTTCTCTTTGACCTCAAAGGTAGAAACTGAAGACCAGTTGCTGGCAATCTTCTGTGGCAGTGAGAACACAGACACTGAGCATACCCCTGGCCAGGAAATGGTCATCTCCCCTGGTTCCTTCATGTCCATCACTTTCCAGTCAGATTTCTCTGATGAGGAGCGATTCACAGGCTTCGATGCCCACTACATGGCTGTGGGTAAGTGAGAAGTGGGTGGCTCATCCCCAGGTCTCTGTTCCTCACTAAAGATTAAAAGTGCCTCATATTCTCTTCTTTACAATGAACACCTGTATACTCACCACACAGATTCTCCCATGAATGTCTTACTGCATCATTTGCTCTATCACATATCTATCCATCTGCTGACTGGTGACTTGGAGCATCTTTACACATGCTTATTGGCCATTTATATACCCTTTGGGGGGAAATGTATGTTCAAATTTTTAAAAAACATTGTTATTGATTTCAGAGAGGGAGGGAGAGGGGGGGAGAGATAGAAACATCAAATGATGACAGAGAATCATTGATCAGCTGCCTCCTGCATGTCCCACACTGGGGATTGAGCCCACAACCCAGATGTGTACCCTAACTGGGACTCGAATTGTGACCTTCTGGTTCATTAGTCCATGGTCAACCACTGAGCCATGCTGGCTGAGCCAAATTTTTAAATTGGATTGAGAACATACATCTTTTTTATCTTTATATTTCCAGTGCTTAGGACAGGGTTTGGTCCCTATAAGCAACATAGAGACAGGCAGAATGGAGTAGAAGTTAAGGGCCTATGCTCTGGAACCAGCCCATCTGGATGTGAATGCTGTCCCCACCACTTACTATCTGTGTGACTTGGAGTAAGTTACTTAATGCCTCTAAGTCTCTCAGTCTTATCATCTGTTGAATAAGAATAGTAACAGTCCTGCTTGCTATTATCTCAATGGTTAGAAGATAGTGGCACCACCACAAGTCAGGTTGCTTGGGTTTGAATCTGGCTCTCTGTAATCTTGGGTAAGCCTCTTACCTTTCTGAGTTCCAGTTTCCTCCTGTAAACAGAAACATTGGCTACTTCTGGGCTTCATGTGAGGAATAAATGATGAAATGCAAGTATCTCACAACATAGTGAATAGCCTACACTAAGTGCTCTATAAATGTTAGCTGTTTTATTCATCATCCCATATGGATTGACTGACTGAGAGGCTATGCCTTTCCCCACAGATGTGGACGAGTGCACAGAGCGGGAGGACGAGGAGCTGTCCTGTGACCATTACTGCCATAACTACATCGGTGGCTACTACTGCTCCTGCCGCTTTGGTTACATCCTCCACACGGACAACAGGACCTGCAGAGGTAGGGCCTAGGGATGATCCTATTCATCACCATTGTGTGCCACATTTTCCAATTAGATGAGGAAGGCTTAGAAGAAGGACAGTAAGAACAATTAAAAATGAAGTCAGAGATCTGTGCTTCTAGGTACCACATGTTTGATGCTGTTGAAATGCCCAGCAGCCCTAGCCTGTAGACCATCTTTTTTCCTGGGCAGCAGGAATCTCTGCCCTTTTCTCCCTATCTCCTTTCCCTCTGCGGGTAATTGGTCTGCTCAAGAAAAAAAGCTTTCCCAGTCCCCTCTCTCTGAGCCATGAACTAGGCTTCCCCCAGAAGTTCCTTTTGTTCTCTTTGTGATAAAAAGAACCTTGGTCCAAAAGAGAACCTTGGCCCAAAGAAAAAAAGAGGGAGGAGAGAGGCAAAGACAGAGAGCAAGAAAACATCTCATTCTTGCTCTCTCATGCCTATTCTGCCATAGTCTCTGGGCTGGGCAGAGGTGGACAAGCAAAAGGGTCAGTTACTTTCCATGAGGACCATCTAGCTAATGGGAAACAGACACAAAGCAAATGGTGAAAAGTAGTAAATGCTGTACAAGTAGTGTGGCCACAGCACGATGAGACCTGAGTCTGCCTGGGGTATGGGCAAACACGTCCCAGAAATGGTGGCCCTGACAGACATAAAAGAATAAGGAAAAGGAAAGCATTCCAGGCAGAGAGAACAGCTTCCGCAAACCTGCCTAAGCCCAATAGAATTTGGAATGTTTGGGGAAATACCAATAGATTAGTATGACTACAGGGTAAGGAGCTGGATTTTAGAAAAATCCTTTGGAAGCTGAGTGAGAGATCATTGGAGGAGGACAAGGCTGGAAGTGAGAATTCTTTTTCTTTCTCCTTCAAAAGCTTCTACTTGCTTCTGAATAAAATCCCTATATGACTCATCAGTAGAGAAAGGGCACATACAGGAGTTTCATCTTGAGGGTTATATTTTCTATGGTTTCCATTCAGTAAGTTTTTATTGAGTATCTAGTATATACTGAGTTCAGTGGAGGCTAAGAATGAGCAAGATTTCTTGATCTCTTTTTCACTTTTACCTGTGCCTCCAGGAACTTTTTAAAACATTATCTTCCTAATCTTCTTAATATCTGTCCCTACCCATGAAATTTTAATATCACAGATACACTGTATATATTACTTATGTACTGTATGCCTAACTATAAAAAGGGTAAGAGTTCCCCCTACCAAGAACTAATTTTAACCCCCTTTGGGGCAATATCATTGCCATGAGAATGTGTGATACAGAAAACGAAAACATGGAAATGCAAGTAACCTTGACCTAAACCTTGTTCTACAGCTCTGAGTTGTAGACTTTCAAGTTAGTTGTGCCCCTTTTTCTGGGACACAGTTTACTCTTTTGCAAATGAGCAGGATGAGCTAGTGCTTAGAAAGAACTGACATCTAACTTCTAGGATAGGTCAACTCAAGGACAAAGGTCCAATAGCAAATAAAAGGACCTCAGCAGAGCTAAGCCACGGCTAGGTGCTATGTCCTTGGTGCAGCAGATGAAGTGGGGACAAAGAATCCCTGAGATCAGGGGACTTACAGTCTAGTGGGGGCAAGAGAATCCACAAACAAATCTATCACATAGTGGCAAGTAGTGGTCAGGAGCATAAAGGGAAACAAAGCAAAGCCAAGGGCTAAAGTGAGGGGGTGTATGAGGGATCAAAACAGGCTTTGAGCAGAGACCTAATGGAGTCTGGGCTGAGGGGAGAGCAAGAAAAAAGCAGTCCAGACACCACCACCTCAACTATTCCATCTCAGAACCTTTCCATCTTAAACCCTATCCTTCCCTCCTTCCCCCCAATGCTACAAAATCTGATGAGAAGGCTTATAACACTCATTGCCTTTGAATCTTGACCCTGCAAATTACTAGTGTGTGACCTTGGATAAATCATTTCCCCCTCATTGAAATTCAGTTTCCCCATTTGTGATAGGGGGATAAGTATTCCTTTCCTGCTAGCCTCTCGGGACCACTGTGAAACCGTACAGTAACAGTTAAGAAAGGAGTTTCTGTGGCCATGTGTGGTGGGTCACTTTGCTCTGGTATGTTTCCCATAGTGGAGTGCAGTGACAACCTCTTCACCCAGAGGACTGGCGTGATCACCAGCCCTGACTTCCCCAACCCTTACCCTAAGAGCTCCGAATGCTTCTATGCGATCAGACTGGAGGAAGGTTTCATGATCAGCTTGCAGTTTGAAGACATTTTCGACATTGAGGACCATCCAGAGGTGCCTTGCCCCTATGACTATATCAAGGTAAGCCTGCAATGGACCTTTGCTCTGGCGATGCTGGAAAATCTTGCTGAATTGGGAAAATGAATAATCTTGCCCTCTACCTTCTCCCAGGATAGGGGGCCAAACAGCTATCTTCCAAAAGATAACTATTTAAAATAACATCTACCAGCTTAATCAGATCCAGTCTAGGGATCTTCCCTGATCCAAAACTAGCCACTTGGCCACCTACAAAATCCCTTTTACCATGTAGCATAACATCATCATGAAGTAACACCTGGAGTGAAGGTCATGAGGACCACCTTAGAATTCTGCCTACCACACATAGTTTCCAGGAGCTCTGCCATGAGCCTTATCCGGGTACTTAATCACTTGGGGCTTTACTTTTCCCACCTCTCCACAGTAAGGGTGACAAGATGAAGATATCACCCAGGATTGTAGATCCTGGTAACTAAATGAGGCTTAAGGAATTCTCATCCTCAGAGATGGAAGGAAAAGAGTTAAATGCATAGGAAAGACCCAGGACTGGAAGTTGGAAAATCTGGATCAGTGAATAGTACCTATTCCCTTTCCTCCATCCCATCCCCCTATCCTAGTCCACACCTAATTATCTCCTGGTCAACTGCAAGGCTTCTACCCTTGCCCTACACAGCCTGTTCTCCCATAGCATCCAGGCTGATCTTTATAAAAGTCAGATTAGATCAAGGTTGCACTTGGAAGTAAACATAAATTCCTCAGCACAATGTGGCCCTTGTGCCTTTTCAACTTCATGCCATGGTACTCCCTCTGTTGGCCTTGACCTTCACATATGCTGTATTCTCTACCTAGAAAGTATTCTACCCTCTTCCTCCAATGAAAAGCTCCTATTCATCCTATATGTCTCAAATCCAGTATTGCCTACTCAAGGAGGCCTTCCCTGGCCACCTATTTAGAGTTATTATCTATCATATTAATGATGAAATCTATAGGTTACATAGATTTTACTACATAAGTTAGAAATAAAAAGCACATATTTATTATCCTCCCCCAACTAGACTGCAAGTTTTTTGAGGGCCATTTCTATGCTTTGCACAGGCCAAAGCCTGTCCCTCTCTGAGGCATAATATGTTCATCTTTGAGCAGAGGATTATTAACATGCCTAGTCCACTGTTAGGACTATTATAAATTGTAAATTGTGGGACTGGAGATGGAGCTATCTGGTGAATGGTAACACCCACTAGAAATGTGAGTGAATAATAGGTTTCACATGAAGGCTTCCAGAAAACCCCAGGTACAGTGTAGAGGTGGCCCCTGCAGCAGCCACTGCTATTCTGATGTGAACCTCCTTTTTCTTTGTCTTGTCCCTCACAGATTATAGCTGGCCCAAAAGTCTTGGGACCCTTCTGTGGAGAGAAATCCCCAGAACCCATCAATACCCAGACCCACAACGTCTCAATCCAGTTCCGCAGTGACAATTCAGGCGAGAACCGGGGCTGGAAGCTCTCGTACAAGGCAACAGGTAACTTGGTCATTGCACTCAGCCCTCATGGAGCAGTGGCTGAGGGATGAGGAGGCTTCACCCTGGGATTGTGGTGGGATTACCAGCTCTGCCACTGAGTACACCAAGGCACATTTTCTCTTCTGACTCAGTTTCTCTTCTATAAAATGGGATATTCATGGTGTGTTCGAACTTGCTGTACTTCAGAATCATATGGGGAGATTAAAAAAACAGAACTTGGTTTTTAAACCACACCCCCCGACATACACACTGTGATTCATTGGGCCTGGAGAGGACCCTTCCAGCTCCATCCCTCTCCAAGTCTGAGGCTGGAATTTTGTTGTGGGCCTGTAGCTCAAAATGTTCCATTACAGCAGTTTGGCTCTTTATGTTCCCCCTGGACTGGCAAAGCCCACGGGTTTCATTCCCTGATACCCCAAGGCAGCCAGTCCTGGCCCAAATATTGATAGAGCCATTTGACCCAAGGTGTATGCAATAACTTGAAAAAGAAGAGGGTGGACATCAGTGACAAGACCACAGCTGGGCATGACTAATTCAATTTATAGACTCCTATCCCGGCCTGGCCTGCACTATCAAATTTAGTGCCCAGTTCTGTGGAGAAAAGTGAAGCAAATGTTAACAAAAGAGAGTTTGTCCAGGAAAAATTTTCTGGGATAGTCCCAGGCCTGGGAATCCTGTCTGATTTAGTCTTTTGAAAAGAGGGTTCAGAGGCATATGATCACAGACCAACACTTTGAGGCATGGTCTTGGAAAGAAAGAGCCACTGGTGTCATCCTAAGTTCCCCAAGAGGGCAAACTACGCCTGATGAGTAAATATTAGAATGATATAAATTTCAATTGCATATGAAACTACTATTTCTTTAATCAGATGAATTCAGTATGAAAGGTGAAGGTTTGGGAGGTATGGAGCTCCCTGTCACTGTAGAAATGCAAATAGATGTTTAATGTCTACTATGGAAGATGTTATTAAAAAGAAAAAAGCATCAGACCAGGCTTGCACTCAATGGCACTTAATATGCTATTGAATCCTGAGTTTTGATTAAATCACTGGCCAAGCACCTCATTTTACAAATGAGGAAAGAGAGGTCCAAGGACCTGCTCAGGTTCCAGTACGTTTTCTTCAGGTTTATTAGGTCCAGGCCCCTAACACTCAGTCTTGTGCCTTCTCCACCTCCATCATGCCTGGCAGTCTAGGGACTGGCCTCCGGATGCCATACTTTTCTTTGTTTTCTCACCTGCTATTTTTCCATTGCTTCACCAGGGAAGGAGTGTCCAGGGCTACGACCTCCTGTCCAAGGGAAAATTGAGCCCTTGCAAGCCAAGTATTTCTTCAAAGACCAGGTGCTGGTCAGCTGTGACACAGGCTACAAAGTGCTGAAGGTACAGGATCCTGCCTGGGGAGTGGGAGCCACCAGGCGAGAGAAATTCTCTTGAGAGCCTCCCCGAATAGATGGGCTTCCAGAGCTTGTGATGGTCCCATCATAGTTTTTCTAGATTCCCCATAAATCTCCAAAACACTCCAGAAATCCCAGTCTTCTGAAAATTTAAAGCATGTGTCCCAGACTCTCACTTCTGGAAGTGGCACACAAGTCTTTTACCAGAGTGTGGGCTGGTTTGAATTTCAAAAAATCTAGCTCTACTCGTCCCTACAATCAGGACAAACAACCTTAACAAATTTGAGACTTATTGGGGTAAATGGGGATGGAAAGCAGGGATTTTAGAGGTGGCAGGTAGGTACTCGCCCACCCTCTGAAACTGTGATTCTCCTAGGAATCACCTGCTTAACTTAAAAAAACAAGTCCCCTCCTAGGCCCACCTGAGCTTAATGAAAGCAGAATAGGCGGTGCCCAGTGATTGGTTTTCTGTAATGTTGCCCAGGTGAGTTTGATGTAAGCCAAGCTAGTAGACCAGTGCTCTGAAGGAATGGTTCTGGAAGTGGGGTCCCTACTGCAGCATCAACTCACTTGTTAAAAATGCAAAGGCTTGGTCCCCAGGTCAGAGACACTGAATCAGAATCTCTAGGGGCAGAGCCCAGCAATCTGTGCAAGTGCCTTCAGGATGCTGATGCTTGCTCAGGTTTGAGAGCCACTTCTCTGAAAAAGGAGTCAAGAGTATAGATTTCCCTTCAGAAGCAGTTGCCCAAACCCCTTTTCACATCCATTTTAGAGGTGGCAGATAGGTACCACTAGGACTCTCTCCAGGGCAGGAATGGGGAATATGAATTCAGCATCTATCTTTTCCTCATCTTCAAGCTTGCCTTTGGAGGCTTATGGTTGGAAAACCTCAGGTTAGGACACCCAGATTTGTAGTTTGAGCTGCTTGTGCTGAAAAAACACCACCAACCCCTACCTGTTTTCCTTCTCCCAACATTTTCGTCATGTTTCTTCCTAGGATAATGTGGAGATGGACACATTCCAGATCGAGTGCCTGAAGGATGGCTCATGGAGTAACGAGATTCCCATTTGTAAAAGTAAGAAAACAAAATCTGCTTATTATAAAGACCATGAACTCCCCAGCACGGGTGGGATTCGAGCAGAGACCACACAGGGGGACCACTTGGCAGGTGCACCTTAAGAGAAAGGGGGCAGGAGGTCAGCAGACACATGAGGGTTGGACAAAAGAAGTATGTATCTTTTAGCAATAAGACAATAGGATTCCAAAAGAAACTTTTTGTGGGTCTTTACTTTCTAAATACTGCAGACAGATTGCCATTTGCTACAGGAATAGCACGTCTCCACGTTTGAAACTAGCTCTGTTTCAAATAGCTAATTCAGGAAACTATTTTGGCCCCAGTGCCCAGAGCCGAGTGACCTTGCCAGTCCATGTGGCCGTCAGCCATACCCACTAAGTCTTCTGGGACATCTTACGCTTTAGGACTGTGGGGTCAACACAGTGGATGTGTGTGAAGCAGGGGACACAGTTCTGCACGACCCTTGGGACCCAGAGTTCTTGCCTTGTCTCTGCTCCTAACCCACCCTATGACCATGGACAGGATCCTCCTCCTTAATTGTAAAATAGAGAGTTTGAACTAGTTTTAATATTCTAGAATATATCCTGGTGGTTCTAACATAATGTATTCCATATAAATAACCTAGTAAGCTTTGCAAAATTACAAAGTTTCAGTCACTACCTCCTCTCCCCCTACCCATGTGACTTCAATGCAAGACTTGTAAAGACCACAATTTTAAGACACTCATCTATAGTGACAGAAAAGGAAGGAAAAGGAGACAGGAAGGAAGGGGAGGAGGATTTGCTTTAGAATGGAGAAGTGAGAAGTCAAGAATTAGGATTAGTCTCACCTGCCCCCTAGTTCATGACTGCATGTAAACTTGGAGTGGTGTCCTTGTCCCACCATCTCCTAAATGGCTCAGATCCATTGGGCTGGCAGATCCACTCCCATTGCCCCAACAGGACAATGTCAAGCTGGGACTCCCTTGAGGTAAATACCAGGCAGAACTTTGGAGCAGTGTGTGCTTGTCGTAAATTTTCCTTTCTTTATAGGATGATGTGGCTGGAGTCAGAGCCCAGTATGTGTGGGTGTGTATGGGGGGGGGGCGGGGGGGAGGAGGAGCAGGGGGTGCATTTTATGGCTTCAAACAACATTTTCTGGATGCCTGGGCAGATGTCTACAGGGAACTCAGATGGAAAAGACAAGAGCCAGACGTAGAGGAACTCAAATGCCAGCAGACACATCTGCCGCCTCCTCCCGCACGTGGCTCATGTGTGGTGCTGTGGCTGAGTTCTACCCAAACATGAGGCTGTTGAGAAGGAGGGGCTAAAGGAGGATGTGGGTAGAGGATGGAATGTGGCTTTGGAGTCAGAAAGTTCTAGATTCAAATCCAGATTCAAACAGTTTCAGGTCCCTAAGCAATTTACTTAAACTCTTTTTGCCTCAGTTTCCTACATTCTTGATTGTTCTGAGGACTAGCTGTGTTAATGTACATATCATACATGGGGAGCACCAGGAATAAGAAAAAAGCTCAAAAAAGCTTATTTCTTCCCCCACCCAACTCCCTCACTAGGAAAAGTTTTGGTTTCTCTCATTTACGCTTGTAGGAAACTTTGATAACAATTTTCTTCCCTGATAAAACACACACATCTTATTGTAACACAAGTGTTGGTTGAGTTAGGCACTATTATATTTGATGGTACTCTTTTATGTGGCTTTTGTTAGTATACAAAAGAATGCCTGTCATTTTGTGCCACAGAAAAGAGGAATTTTTTTGTCCCCCTAATGTGTCCTGGCTCTCCCAGCACAGCCTGGATTGGGACTATTAGAATCCCTATTTAGACACATAGAACATCCCCGCTCATTCACGAGTAGGTATTTATTGAACATCTCTCTGTCCCAGGTATGCGCCAGGTCCTAGGGGAGACACAAAATTGAATAAAACTGAGAAGTTGAGAGTCCCCAGAGATTGTGAGGAAAGGGGTTGGGAACTGACAGGAAGTGTGTGTGCAGTGAAGAAACCTGCACCAGAACAGGAAGTAAAAATTATGTGTTGTTGACCTGGACTTACCACCACCTTGCTGTAGTGACCCTGGACAAGTTCTCTTCCACTCGGAATGCCATCTGTCAAATGAGGGTCTGGGTCAGGTGAATGCAAAGTTTGCTCCGGAGCAGAATATTATAACTCTCATGAGCCAGGATTTATGACTGTGCAAATTCTCTGAATGGTACAAATTCCACAATCCCATACTGTCCTTCACACTGGCTGTACCTAAACTGTGCATTCTTAATCAATTCTGGTGCAGTGATTTCTGTATTTCCAGCATGAACTGATTCTGCTTTGCTTGCTAATTTTTCTCTTTCTCTTCTTTCTCTCTCCGTTCCTCTCTCTGCTTCCTTTCTCTGGACCCACTCATCCCTCTTTGATCTTCACCATGGTGACAGAAACTGAAATGGATTTGGAGAGTGAACTCGAGTCAGAGCAAGTGACCCAGTGAATGACGGGACCCCACACAGTGCAGACATCCAGGAATGGATCACTTACAAGACCCTGGGTCCCAGAGCTACTCCACCCCTCCCCACCCTGCCAACACTCCATTCCCCGTTTCATTGTGGATCAGAAAGGATGCTAAACAAGGCAACATAGTCTCAAAGAATTGAAATTCCTGCCTGTATGAAAAAAATTCTCATTTTGAGGGTTCACCCATCATTCAAACATTACTCTAGAAAATAATTAAAAAAAAACAATGGGAGACTTATCACCTCTAAGTGGACCATATTCTTCTCAAAGGAAAAATGACTTTGGTCCTAGAGACACAAGATTTAATAATATACAATCCCATGGCCTTAGGTTGACCAGGTCAAAGTGGGCCCTGGTTTCCAATCCACTCTACACTTCAAATTCAAATGGGTCAGAATGCCTGTGACTTTATGACTTTAATATTTTTACTTGTTGTTACTTTCTTAACATGAGTAGGTGGAACTAGGAATAACTAATATAGCCTGGATTTTTAGGGAATCTAGATATATCTTCATGCCTAAAAGCTTCCCTCCCACCTATACCTAACACAGGGCTAAGATTTCATCATTGAGAGTTCTTTCTTCTGGGGCTTACACATTTTGAATTTCTAAAAATTTACTGATTAAAGTTTTGCAAAAGATATGGATCACATTGAAAGCAGCAGTCCTCAGCTCTGGTGCCGTTGGACATCCCGGGGTCAATTGTAAGTAGTGATAAGGGCTGTGGAGTGCAGCCAACATACTGGAAATCTCTGCTTCTGCCTGAACAAAATCTGGACACACATATCAGAGAAGCCTTGCATTGCATTGTGACTACTAGTCAGTATGGTGAGGAAATGGCCTCTGGAGGAGGGCAGAATCTTGCAAGGGTGGACAAGGAGCTGTCTGGATGCCCCTAAGACAGGACATGGGATGGTTACTAAATACTATTGAATCAGTATTTTTAAGCCCCAAAAGTATAATAGATATGGTACTCAGTGTGATAAAGGAAATTATAATTTAGGCAGAAGGTTTGAAATGGGCCCAAATAATTGTAATAACAGGCAACTTAAGATGCATACATCAGAGAGAGGTCAATAAATAAAGCTCTGCAAAGAGAAATATGGAACCAGCCTTATCTGATTAGAAGAATAAGAAAAGTTTTTCAAGAAAAAGCCACATTTAAGGCCTTGAGGTGGTCAGGGCATGGATACACAGGGTTTCCCATGTGGGGAAAGTAGCAAGGAGAGAGAGTGGCACAAGAAGGGATCTGTGATGCTGGAGCATAAGTCCATGGAGGGGAAGGATGGAGGTGAGGCAGAGTGGAAGGGGAACATCCCTGGGCCAACTCTGAGTTCTCTAAGAAGCCCCCAAATAGTGGCAAAGCATGCTCAATATGGCTTGTCAAGAAAGACATGGGTGATACATCCCATTCCAGAGAATAATGAGAAAGGGAGGCCAAGGGAATGGAGGAGAGTGTGAAAGTGGCCAGAGGAATCTTTAGAGAAAAGGATGAAACTCTCCTAAAGCAAACAAGACAGACTAGTTAAGGAAGCACAGTCTGGATGCATCATCTTTGATAGTACCAGGCAGAGCTGCTCAAGGCCTCTCAAAAAGGGAAGTTGTCTCCAGGCCACCATAGCCTTGGGAAGAAGGCATACCCCTTTCCTGCTCACTCTACCCAAGCTGAAGTGATTTCCACTTTCCACTATGTATCACCTCCTCCATATGGTTGTAGGACCAGCTTTAGCAAGCGGGTCAAGTTACTTCTCTAGAGTGATGTGAAAGCAGGCCCTCCACCCAGAAAACGTCTCACCAGTGCTGGCTATGTCACATAGCTTGACCATCTCACACCATGTCTAAGACCAACCCTGGAATTCCTCCACCTGGAATTAGGTATCAGGTCTTGAGGATACCTTAGGTAAAATGAACTGCTAGATTGAAGTTAAGGGAGACAAGAGTCATACCAAGATCCAGGCACCAATCAATGGCATTTCCTAAAAAAGGAAGAAAAATGTGCTTTGAGACTCAGCCGGATAATGCATTGAAAACTGTTGATAGCTTTCAATAATAAATATTATCACCTCTTGTCGTCCTAGTGCTGATCTTCACATGCTCTCCTCACAGAGTAGACAAGTGTGTCTACTTTGAGTGATCAAAACAAATGGGAATGATTTGTCCAGGTGGGGGGTCGGATGCCAGAATAAAACACTAACCAGTTCTGGCTTTTGCCATCCTTGTGGGTAGAATGGACCTACATTTATTCCCATTCTTCATCCTCTGCTCCATCCCGGAGGGTCTTGGAGTTAGTTATATTTAAGTTTGACAACTCCTTGTTCAATCAAACAGATGAATTTGGAGTCCTAAACTTAAAAGTCACAGTATCTGAGTAGCATCTCAGGGGTAAATTGCCCCCTTTCTGTTTCCCAAGGTGAGCAGGTAAAATTCAGGAAGAGAGAAACTCTGGAAATTCTACCAGGGCCTTGGGATGCAGTCCTCTGAAATTATCAGAAGGTTGACAATCAATATCCATCATTACCCAGCTAATACTGATTATAGGCAGTTTTAACTAGAAAACAGATCCTTCAGAACTGTCATTTTGATTTATTTAAAAGAAAAATTGAGTTAAGGTCAGGTCTAGTTCCCTGATCATAACTCACTGTGTGACCTTAGCCAGTTAAGTCTCTGGTCTGAGCTCATCTGTGAAGTAAAGTTGACCTTCTTGACACCTACCTTAGCAGTCCTTTGCAACTGTGAACTTCTGTGATTCTTCAACTTGTATGATTCTTCAACTCTGGTAGAGGTTGTTAGACCTAAGATTAGGATTTCCTTAGGAATGAGCACCACCCCCTAATGAAAGAAACATTGACAGTTTGGGTCCTCAGCCTCTGACCTGGCTCCTGGCAGACTCATAATGGACTCTATCCATACTGAAAACTTGCCTGAGACCTAGTTGGACTGGAAATCTTCCCTGAGGAACAGACATCTTTGGTCTTATCCTATAGCCAACCTCAATGTCCAGCCACCAATAATTGGGAAAAATAAGCAGGTGAAGACTAAAAGTTGGTCTACCTTGACCCCCACCTCCTGACTTTTGTGTCTACAGAGAGCCAGCATGGTGGGGCTTTATTGCATTTCTTTCTGTTTTCCTTTCTTTTTTTTTTTTTTTTTATTTATTTATTTATTTATTTATTTATTTATTTATTTATTTTGCTGAGCTCCAATATGAGCACATTAACGGCTCTTACTCTGCATGTGGTTGGGTCTGGAAGAACTGAATATCCTTTGGTTCTTCTCAGCTGGAATTTTTTGCTTAGCCATAGGCTTCAAGCTTGGGTAGAAGAGGCTAAGAGCAGCTGTGGGCAAACTACGGCCCGCGGGCCGGATCCGGCCCGTTTGAAATGAATAAAACTAAAAAAAAAAAAAAAAAGACCGTACCCTTTTATGTAATGTTTACTTTGAATTTATATTAGTTCACACAAACACTCCATCCATGTTTTTGTTCCTGCCCTCCGGTCCAGTTTAAGAACCCATTGTGGCCCTCGAGTAAAAAAGTTTGCCCACCCCAGGGCTAAGAGGATTGTACAATAGATCTGGAAGCCAAGGAAAGAGCCCTGGTAGGGAAGAGATGGGTCTGCTTAAATCTTAGCAGACCTGCCCTTGCCCTGAAATTGAGATTAGGCTAGGTGAGTTGACCACACAATAGATGGGAGAGACCCCAAAAGCAAGGCCACTGGTGATTTCATAGGTTGTGCCCTCCACAATCCCCTGGGGCATCATTCTCAGACTATAACATGACTTACCGAAGCTATGTGCAGTGCACAACATGCCAGATGGCCCCAAGAAGAAGAGCAAAGGATAATTGAGGGATCTTACTCTCTTCTGTCTCAGTTGCAGACTGTGGTGCCCCAGCAGAGCTGGAACATGGACTGGTTACCTTCTCCACAAGAAATAACCTGACCACATACAAATCTGAGATCAGATACTCCTGCCAGCAGCCCTACTATAAGATGTACAACAATATCACAGGTGAGCCCTGCATACTAAATCAGCCCCCTCCCACCCCTCCCACCTCACACCCTCTGGGTTTCAGGGTTAGGTTGGAGGCTGAAACAGCCAATCAGTTGGCCACAGTTTGGCAGGATTGGGAAAGAAAACATTTGGAGACATGCCTTGCCTCTCCCTGGCTCAAGGCCTGCACACATCCACACTCACTGCCTCCCACAGAGAAAGAATCCTCAGGGAAATGAGGCTGATCAGTTCTGACTCTGCCAAACTTGGAGTTATGGTTAGGGTTAGCACTAAGAAAATTCTCCTAATTTCTTAAAGCCTCCAAGTTCTCACTTTAAAAAGGGAGCAGTGATGGAGCTCACAGAGCTACTGTAAGATGCAGATGAGATGGTAGACATGAGTGTGATTCATTAAAGGGTTTGTTAAGTGGAGAAGGAAGGAAAGGGCAAGTGTGGCACAGAGCACTCTGTGAACCAAGGCCTGTGTGACTAATGATAAGTGCCTGCCAGGAGCTAGGCAGGGCTGGGCGGGGAAGAAGTGGCCCCAAGACAGGCGTGAGTCACATTGCACAGAGCCTTGGACACCATGCTGAGACATGTGGTATTTGTTTTTGAGGGCAATGAGGAGCTATTGGTGATATTGAGCAGAGGAGGGGCATGGTGAGATCCTCATTTTAGAAAGAGTCTTCAGGTTGCAGAGAGGATTGGCTCAGAGGGAATGGCATCAGAAAGACAATTTGGAAGACTCAAAATGATCCACAGTAGAGGAATTAAGAACCAAGATCCATTTTCCATGTGCTTTAAATTGACGATTTTCTCCCTTTTCTTCAATCTTTCCTCACTCTCCCAGGTATATATACCTGTTCTGCCCAAGGAGTCTGGACGAATGAAGTACTGGGGAGAAGCCTGCCCACCTGCCTGCCAGGTACACCCTTAAGTCCTCTGCTTCAACGTCTCCTGTTCAAGGCCTTAGGGCCACAGGAGTTCTGGCTGTTAATGGAGGGGGAAGTTGAGGGCATGATGCTTTGATTGCTTTTTAAGATACCTTCAGAGGTTCAAAGGTCAGAGAAATCCAGCCTCACACCTTCTCAAACCAACTAGCCTCTATAGTTCTATATTTACATGTTCTATCAGGCCAGGAGCCTTTCTGTCTCCTTTCTGTAGCTTTTGCTCCCTCGACACCAGGTTTTTTAGCCTATGCAGTGGGCATGTGTCAGGAAAATCAAGAAAGTGGATACCCCATCCTCAATCACTCACTATGCTATAGAGGAAACAAACAACATTAGACAAATAACTATAGGACAGAGTAAGTTATTTCAAAGATCAATGTGTTCAAGTTTTACTGACTGCTGCTTCCCTGTAGCTCACCTACTGACCCACTTTAAAATGAATAAAAGACTTGTAGTAGCAGGGAGTGTCAATGTGCAGCTATGGATTTAGGGTATATTTTGTGGACACTTGTGTTTGCATTAAAAGTATAGATGATTTGCATCACAATCATGTCGCATATATGTATATATTGAAATCAATTTAGTAGAAAATTATAGCCCTAAATGTAGGGTTAAACAAATAACCCACAAAATTATATTTAATATTCACAACAGAAATTTATGCTTTAAAAAAAAGCAAGAATAGCAGTTATTGAAAGACAAAACCATTCAAGACAGCACTGAGGAGCAGTCCTGATTCTGGCTGCACATTCCTCCAGCAGTAGGAGTTTCAGAGTGTGATGAAGTGTTTTGTAGCATCTGTATTTTACTGCACCAGAGTGTTAGGGAGATGGAGGTAGTGCTATTATTTGATGGAGATAGTGTTTTTTACACTTTAGTAACCCTCAATAACACTCAGTAGGCTTCTAGATATTAGATTAGACATTAAAATGGAAAAGCTATGGAGTGTCTACCATTAGCCTTAAGAACTGAAGAAAGTGTCAGCATTTGGGAATCAGCTTTGGCCAACACTGAAGAGCTATGAGATCCCAGAGAAAGAGGAAGTCAGTGCCTGTGGTTGTCTGGGAGTAGAGGGGTGAGGGCTGGTTAGGAAGACTTCACTTAGGAGGGCTTTATGCTTAGAAAGAATTCTTGAGGAATTAAAAGGGGGAAAGGTCAACCCATTCACACTGTACTAATCCCCATAAACTTGCTTAGGCTTAGAAAGACACCCAAGACTTTACACTGTTGGCAAAGTCTCAGAGAAAATGGGAAATGGTGGAGCTGTGATAAACTGGAAGGTCAAATCCCTACTTTGCTAAAATACTATGTGGGCCAAAGAAAACAGCACTGCAGGTGGATTCCATCCTGGGAAGCCATGTTATGACCTCTGGAAGGGGAAGAGGCCCTGAGCTGCGAGTCAGGGGCTTGGATCCTAGTTCTGGTATTGTCATTTCCTAATTGTGATCTTTGGTAAGTAATATCTCTGGGACTAGGATTTCATACCTCAGAAGTGAGGGAGCAAACCCATGTGATCCATGACATTCTATAACTTTTATGGTCATCATCCTCTATATTTATACAAAGCATCTTGGATACAATGAGTCATAAAATTATTTTAATACTTGATGTTTGGCAGAACCATGGTGTATCATTGGGCCAGATTAGAGATTTATAAATTCTCTCCTCCTAAAACACTGAGATTGGACCCAGAAGCAAGCCAGAGTAGGGAAAACAATTTCATCGAGTGCCATAATATCCACCTTCCCACAAAAATTGATAAGCAAATATTATTTTCCCCTTATTTTACAGATGATAAAACTAAGAATCAGTGCAGTATAGTTTATCCAAAACTACCCACAGAAAGTTAGGGGCAGAGCTGGAAGGTGAACCCAAGACTTTTGATAACACAGCATTCTGAGCACTTCTTGATTCTGATTATATTTTATGCCATCTTTATGAACCTAATATCACATTTTTGTTTTGAAAGCACTCTCTCAGTTCCTCCAGTCTTCTAAGGCTCAAGTCTGGCTGCAGCACAGCTGAGGCTATAGTATTTCTTTTCTTTTTAAAAAAATATTTTTTTATTGATTTCAGAAAGGAAGGAAGAGGGAAAGAGAGAATCATCAATGATGAGAGAGAATCATTGATCAGCTGCCTTCTGCACATCCCCTATTGGGGATTGAGCCCACAACCCAGGCATGTTCCCTTGACCAGAATAGAACCTGGACCCTTCAGTCTTCAGGCCAACACTCTATCCACTGAGCCAAACCAGCTAGGGCAAGGCTATAATATTTCAAGAAGATTCCTTTCTCCCAGGAAGGACTATATGTAGAATGGTGTCAGCTGAAAGAATTATCCTATTTCCATGAGCCCTATCAATGACTTGTTGCATTATCCAGCTCTTAAAAGTAGAAAAACATATCAAGAAGAAAAACAGTCTTTGTGGAGAAAATGAAGTTAGAGTCATAAGAAATGGGCTCTACTTCTGGCTCTGGCACTACACTTTGAGTATGTCACTTGCCTTTTCTGAACCTTGGTTTCGCCATCTGTAAATTAGCTGTTTTCCAAGCTACCCAAACTCTGACATTCTAGGACTTGGGTTATGCCATTGACACCTTGGTTGGAAAAAAATGCCAGTCAGAACTGGTTTTGTTGTGATCATGGACTAAGCCACAGGCATGTCTTTTACCAGATGAGGGCCTTTCGGCACTACATGAGTCATTGTGCAGAGCTCATCACAGACCTGCCTTGAGCTGTCACCTTGTAGGCTGCTGCTTGTAATTGGGAGTCTGGCCTTCAACTGTGAAAGGCCTGGGGTGAACAACAGGGTAATTCAAGAACAAATAAGAAGCATTTGGCATCAGGATGAAGAGCATCTGTAAAGCATTAGATTTCTGAAAACCTGACTTCCCAAAGGTGCCAAGAACACTCAAATGCTCTTTGGTCTTTGTTGATAGTTTATAGGGCCAAGGAGTGTAGCCTGGCCATTTGCAACCAAAAGGAGGCCCATGCTCCCACCAGGCTTACCTCCCAGACCTAAGAACCATGCTGGGAAGGGTCCATGTGAACTTGTTCTTAGCCAGCGGGGCATGATCCTGAAGAACCTCTGCTCATGAGCCAGCCAAAGGTGTTTGGCTGCAGGAGGCTGGTGGTGCATGTGCATGCTCGGGGTACAACTCAGAGGAACGAAGTTTGATCAGACCTTTCTTCTTCCCCTGAAGGTATACAGGGTTCCTGGGTGCAATGATGGGTGGCTCAGAACAGGGCCCATGCATCATTGCTTGTAGATTATGCCACCTTTCCCTATCCTTAGATGTCCTGGGCATCCATTCTCAGCTTGAGTCCTTTATGCTAGAGAAGAAAAAGTTAGAGGGCCCATTGTATGATCTTTATATATAATGAGGCATTGTAGGATACAGGACAAGACATTGATTGGAGAATCTAGTTAAGCCCCTGCTACTTATCTTAATAGCCATGTGACCTTGGGTAGTCACTTAACCTCTGAAGAGTTTCACTTACCTATAAAATGGGGGTGACTAGGGCAAATAAAATAAAAATTAAAGGAATTTGGGATTTAAAATATCCTTGGAGATCATCTTAAACTGCCTCATTTAGCAGATCAAAAATTAAAATCTAGAGAGGGCAATTTACTGAGCCAAAGTCACACAGAACATAGGAGAGAAAAGCCAGGTCAAGGCCTTAGGTGTCTTGGCTCCCAGTCCAGAGTTTCGTGTGACTTACTAGACCATCTTTTAGTTTCTTTCATCTCTCAAAGCCCATGACCTGTGGTTTTCAGAAGTTTTATAAGTGCCCACAGTATGGACAACTTCTGGTATATGAGATGCCTTTCTAGAGAAAAAAAAAAAGGACGGGGGCGGGGCGGGGGATGGGGGAGAGGTGATCACTATTAGAGACTGGCCAGGCTCAAGATAGTCCAGCCCAAAAGTGATCCTGGCTGGAAATGGTTCAAGATGATGATGGTCTATACATGGAATGGTCTGATCCATAGATGGCCCTGACTACAGAAGGTCCAGACTATAGCTCAGCCAGACTAGAAAAACTTAAGCCAAACATGACCCAGCACAGAGATCTTCCAGGCTAGTGTGGCCCATGATGTTGAGTATGGTCCTGTGGTGGCATAATCTACAGTGGGTGAGATGTGAATTTCTCTTAGTGGCTCTTTTCACATGATGACCTTTTCACAGTATGTCTCTTGTCCCCACTCCCTTCTTCTCCTTACAGTGTGTGGTCAGCCCTCCCGCACCCTGCCAAACCTGGTCAAGCGGATCATCGGGGGCCGGAATGCCGAGCCCGGCCTTTTCCCATGGCAGGCCCTGATAGTGGTGGAGGACACCTCGAGGGTGCCAAATGACAAGTGGTTTGGGGGTGGGGCCCTGCTCTCTGAGTCCTGGATCCTCACAGCAGCCCATGTGCTGCGCTCACAACGCAGAGACAACACAGTGACACCAGTCTCCAAGGAGCACATCACTATCTACCTGGGCCTGCACGACATGCGGGACAAATCGGAGGCTGTCAACAGCTCAGCTGCCCGAGTGGTGCTCCACCCCAACTTCAACATCCAGAACTACAACCATGATATAGCTTTGGTACAACTCCAGGAACCTGTGCCACTGGGACCCCGCGTCATGCCCATCTGCCTGCCAAGACCCGAACTCGCAGGCCCAGAGCCCCACATGCTAGGCCTGGTGGCGGGCTGGGGCATCTCCAATCCTAATGTGACAGTGGATGAGATCATCAGCAGTGGCACTTGGACCTTGACAGATGTGTTGCAGTATGTCAAGTTACCCGTGCTGCCACACGCAGAGTGCAAAACCAGCTATGAGTCCCGCTTGGGCAACTACAGCATCACAGAGAACATGTTCTGTGCCGGCTACTATGAGGGTGGCAAGGACACATGCCTTGGAGATAGTGGCGGGGCCTTTGTCATCCTTGATGACTTCAGCCAGACCTGGGTGGCCCAAGGCCTGGTGTCCTGGGGAGGCCCTGAAGAATGTGGCAGCAAGCAGGTCTATGGGGTCTACACAAAGGTCTCCAACTATGTGGACTGGGTGTGGAAACAGATGGGCTCTCCTCAAGGTCTGGGGGAGCTCCAGGTGGAGCGGTGAGCTGACTGGCCTCCTCAGGGCCTGCCTGCCCTGCCTCAGCCCAAGTGAGGCTGACCCCACACTTCTGACAGCACACTCCATGTTACTCACTGACTAGACCAAATGGAATGGAACATGCTTCTCCCATCCTCTGGGGACAGCCCCAGGACCCTGACAGGCAGCACAGCTGTATGAAGGAGAGTCTCTACACAAAAGTCCTGGGACCATGGCCCTGGGCAAGTCCCTTTCCCTCTCCAGGCCTCACTGTCCTCAGCAATACAAGGGAGCTGGACATCTGGGCCAGTCCTAGCACTCCTCTCCAGGACCGCTTTATCCCAGTGGCCTTATTCACTCCTATTCACTTATCAAGTCCACTGTTGCTATAACTGGACCTGATTGTTAGAAAATGTTTCCTTACATTGAACTGAACTCCAAGTCCATATATTTTGCTAGCTCTGTCCTCTGGGCACAAACAAGTCTAGATCCTCCTCTAGGAGAAAACCATTCAGGTTTGGGGAGATGGAGATTATACCCTGAGGCCCCTCTCTCCTAGTGAAATCCCTGCAGTACTCTTATCCCTGGGATTTCTCTCCCAAAACTTCTTGTAGTCCAAGCTTTAGTCTTTATGTTATCTGTTAAAGGGACTTCAAGGGACAGATAAAGCTGGGGATGTCTGGATGACTCGGGGAGGAGAAAAGCAATGGGAGGCTCCCCAACCCTGTTAAATTCCTATTGTCAACTCAGAACTTGTTATTTTGGACCACATGTCACTCTCAAACACCAGCTGACTACATGGGGTACTCCAGACAAGCATGAAGCAACCTGCCAGCCTTGGAATGTATCATCTGAAAAGGCTGCCTGAGCCCCAGCCCCAGACATGGAGACTCATCTGGATTGCTTGGAAGAAGAGAAGGCCCATGCTGTGCCCCGCTGTACTTCTGAGTAGGAAAACAAAATAAGGGTGGGCTAAGGACACTAGGAGTGACCTCATCCCACCAGGCTGCCCAGCATGTCCATGATCTGAGCTCTGCAGAGAATCCACCAGCATGGATGTTCAGAGGCATGAACTCCTCCAGTTTCCAGGAGCCCGAATAAAGGGCAGCAGAGATTTGCCTGTGAAAGGCAGTGAAACGAGACGGAGAGCCAAGAGTCGTAAGCTCCAGCCCCAGCTCTATCCCCCAATGGCTGCATAACCTTTGACAAATCACTTTCCCTTTGGGAGCTCAGTTTCCCCATCTATAAAGGAAGGCATTGGATCTCCCTCAAGGTCCTTTTAGCTCCAGCAGTCAGTGCTTCCAATTGCCAGCAGCCTCTCCAAGGCCTTCACAGGACCGACAGTCCTCCTGGGATTTTCAACCAGAGACAGGTGGCCAGAGAAGTCCCAAGAGGGACTCCCAAGAGAACAGTTGGGAAGTGTCCACTTTTTTAATGGGTTCATGAAACCACACACCTGTGCCTATGAGCGCTGCATGTAGAGGATGCTCTATATTGTATATCTTATATCACAAGCTCACCACTCTGTAAGGTGCCTCTGCACTCTGTGTCTCCTGTCAGGGATCTAAAGTGGAAATAAAACCTCTGTGGATAATCAACAGCCTTCATTTGGGGGTTTGATTATTGTTGATATTTGTTTGTTTGTGACTCTTTAAAAAGAAACTTACCCCTCATAAAGCCAAAATTGCTTCCATTACAGAAAAGGTACAATGTTTGTCACCTAGATATCGTCCAAGAAAAGGTGATGAGGAGTGGGGTTGGTTATTGACATGTGTCCTCTCAGAGGCTGCACATTCCTTCACTGCATTGCCTGCTATTTTAAGTCCTTGACTTCAAAGAGCTCAAACTTGCATGCAAGGCAAGGTCCTGTGCTTCTAGGTCTCACACAGGCAAGAGGAGTTAAGTGTCATAAGAGAAGTGGAGATGGCAGTATTATGGGAACTTAAAAAGAAGAAGAAATCCATACAGCTGAAGGGGGTCTGGGGGAGCTTTGCAGAGAGGTTGCAAAAGCTGTTCTGGGAGATGAAAGCACAGGCAGAATGGACAAAGATCAAGCAGGAAAGTGGGCATGAGTAGAGTGAGAGCAGTGGGGATTAAGGGAGAGTAGAAAGAGTCTTGAAAGCCATTCTATGTTTTCACTCTGTCCTGAAACTAGTGACTCTCTACTTTGGGGTATATCACAATCACCTGGGATGCTTGTTAGAAATGCAGATTCCTGGGTCCCTCCCCCCCCCCACCCCCCCGCCGGGAAATTCTGAATCAGCAAGTCTGAAGGTGGGCAGCATAGTGTGGAAAGTGGCTTGTGAGGAGGAACTGAGCTACAGAAACAGGTTGGGAAGCTACTGCAATCATTCTGGAGGGAAATGGTGAAAATCCACCAAACCTAGAGCTATGATGACACAGATGTGGGGGCAGAGAGTTTTAAAACATTTAAACAGTGTGTTCAGCAGGGCTTGGTGTCTAGGCATAGAAACAGTACAGGTGTGGGGGTAGCACAAGCTAGCCTGTTAGTGAGGGCTGGCCATGGGACGCACTCATGCTGTGCCTTGGTTTGGAGTTTGTATTATAATGACAATATCATGCTTTCTACACCATTGGGAACTGAAACAATCCTAAACTATGTGTAAAACTTTATATGTAGCTGGTTTCAAGGATTACCATGTCCTGTGTTCTATTACCGTTCAGATTTTTACTTTCCTCTAGATATTTGGACTGTGTGTATTGTGACATATTCAGACACTGAGGGGTCATGAGGTTACATGGAGAGCACACTGTGACATGGAGTGGAAGAGACATATTACTCTCTGTTTCCCCTGGTGATTTTTTTTACTGGCTTAGTGATTGAATATGGGGATGAAGGAAAGGAAGGCAACAAAGAAGAGGCCAGTGCAGAGGTTAAATGCAGGCATTAACAGACATCTGAATAACAAAGAGGAGAAGGTTGGTGAAGGGTAGAGACCAGGGTTTGGTTTTGCTGTGCTTGATGAGTTCATGAGCACATCCAGCTGGAGATGAGGAAGGAGATATTTCAGAGGAGGGGCGTTTAGAGACACCGATTTGAAATCCATCAGTGTATAGGTAGTGTCATGGCATGGGAGTAGATAGTATTATCTACTGGAAGTTTGCAGGGAAAAAAAAGGCTGGGGTGAGGACAGAACAAGGGAAATACCAGCATGGGAGGCATAAAGAGAAGCAAGAGAGACAAAAAAAAGAGAGATCAGAAACAGGAAGAGAAGTGCTTCAGAAGCCAAGGAGGAAAAGTGTCAAGAGAGATAAAAAGTATTTAGCAGTGCAAATGTCACAGGATAGTCCAGAGGAACACCTTAGGCTGGACATTCCCCAGGGACAGGCACCCTGGCTCCACTGTCAACTCTGAAAGAATAGCCAGGGAGCAGGCCCCATGCTGGTGTTTAAAGTCCCTAATCCTCCCTTTCTCCTCCTCTCTCCTTCTCCTTCCTCCTTTCTCCATCTTCTCCTCCTCTTTCCTCCTCCTTCTTCCTCTTCTTCTTTTCCTTCTTCTCCTTCCTCCTCTCATTCACTCTTTCTCTTTCTCTACCTTCTCTCTTTTGCTCCCTCTCCTTCTCTCCCCTCCCCTCCTTCCACCTGGAGAGGGAGGGAGGGGAGGAGGAAGGAAGGAAGGGGAGAGATAGATAGGGAGCATAGAGAGGTTTTTAGCTTTTCCTGAGGCAGGACACTACCCTCACATCCTTCCTCCTTTGTGGCTTATAGAAAAATTATATGTTCAGTTCTCCTAGTTGTGGTTCCTTAAAACCTACAAATGTTTTACCACAGCCCCTGACTCTTCAAATGAAAGCTTGTATTTCCAGACTTTGGTTTGTACTTTGCTCTTTCAAAAGTCAAAGTTGTACCTAGCCTCACCTAAAACAATGATGCTCCAGCTTCAATAGTGAGGAATCACAGGGCAAGAAAACTTCCTAGGGATGAAGAATCCATGAGATAAAATTTCAAATAGTATCTATCTCCCTATACATGTATATATCACTAAGTTCCATGTATGGCCCCAGAGCCATTCTATCTCCATCTATGTTTGTGTATCTATTAACTATTCAAATGACCACTTTACTTCCAAGTATGTGAAGAGCATGGTGCTTCTTCCAAATTCACCTCAAAGGAGAAGGAAGGATGTGGAAACTGTCAACTCTTCTCCCCAGAAGCGTGGCTACAGAAGGGAGGGATAGAAGACACTTTGAAATGAATGGGACGCAGGGAGGGTAAAAATTTGATTTTAGTATGAGAAGGCCTGACCCTGTTTCGGAGGCATAGATAAAGGAGAGCTGAAAAATACAGAAAAGGGATAAGAATCCATAAAGCCAGGTCCTCAAGAGTTTGGAAGTGAGGAGATCTAAATCCCGGAATTAATTCTGTAGAGAAGAAAGTTTACAGAGGAAGCAGATGGAGTGAGGGATGGCTGGGGCACTTCCCACCCAGTGGGCTTTGAGTATCTGCTGGGAATGGGGAGAGGAGGTTAGCTTGGTGAGAAAGAGAATTATAGACTCACATAATTGAAGTCTATACCAAAAGGCTTCAGGTATGGTTAGATCAAGGGTTTCAAATATCAGGATACAATCTCTCCCTTGCTTCCTCCTCATCTTCTAGTTCCACTTTTCTCTATTAGTATCGCTATTCTCAGCAGATTCTCCATGAAGTGATCTTTGGCAGATCTGGGCTTATAGCCAGTAGTTTAGCAACCCCAACAGAGAAAGGTCTCTCTAATATGCTTAACCCCCAAGTCAGGCTTTCATTGGCCAGGCCAAGGTTACATTCCCACCTCAGAGCAAATGCTGTGACCAGGGGATGAGAGGCATGAATCAGTCAGTTCTGGGTCACATTCCTACCTCTAAAACCAGAGATAAAGTCATAACTCAGGATATATGGACTGGGAATAGGGGAAGAGCAAATCCCAGAGGAAAATTGATGTGCTGTCACTGAATGGGGCCATGGATGCTGGGAGCTCAAAAATAAACAGTTGTTCCTAACAGAGAGTAATGAGCTGGCAGCTCTGGCAAAGGACAGGATGGAACCAAGAGTGTGACATGTTTCCTCTCCCCTGGCCGCCACAGTGTGTGGGCTCCCCAAGTTCTCCCGGAAGCTGATAGCCAGGATCTTCAATGGGCGCCCAGCCGACAAGGGAACCACCCCCTGGATTGCCATGCTGTCACACCCGAATGGGCAGCCCTTCTGTGGAGGCTCCCTTCTAGGTAAGGAGAAGGTGGAAGGGGTGGGAAACCTAGGGTTAGGAACCAGTGTGGGAGCAAAGGTAGACTGATCAACATTTCTTCATTGAGAACCACTGTCTACACCAGGGCCAAAAAGTATAGTGTTGTAGAAAGGGCCCTCAGCTGGGACCAGGGGATATGTGTTCCTGTTCTAGCTGGCTCCTTTAGTCAGCAAACACCTACTGAGTCCTGGTCAGTCTCTGGCACTTGGAAGGATCAGAGAGTCAGCCCCTCAAACATGGATTACAGCACATGGCTCAAAGGCAGGGTGTGCCAAGGCTGTGGAAGCAGGGAAAACCACGAAATTCACCCTGGAGAAGTGAGGGAACTTTCTTACAAAGGCCTTGAATGCCCCACTTAGGAATTTATATTTTATCCTAAACACTATTGCAGGCTTATAAGCATATTCTGGAAAGTTCTCTCCAGAGGCTATGTGGATTGAAAAGGAGGGTGACTCAAGAGGCCAGCGTTCAGTGAGGTAGCTATTGCAGTAGTCAGGAGGGAAGTCATTAGCTTCAGAATGAGGACAGAGGCCGAGAGATGACAGTGAGGCAGATTCAATAGCATTGGGAAATAGAATCATCAGGATTTTGTAACGGATTAAATGTGGTGGGAGTGGGAGCAAGGTCAGGAAAGGAAAGGCTGACAGACCTTCCTGCCGCAATTGGGTCCAGATGACCTAAGGTCCATTCCAGCTCTGACATCCTAAGAAAAAGTAATAGCACTCTGGAGTCTGCAGCCAATGCCTGGCTTGATCCCATCACAGAGGAAGAAGGTCTGGATGTGTTCACATCTGCCTACACAGCTCCTGGGGCTGCTGGTCTCGCCTCTCACTAACCCACCTCCTCCAGGGTTCAGTCAGGTGAGGACAGCTCCCCACCAGGCATCCCCAAGGGCAGGTACCAGGCCTGGACACCCTGGGATATGTGAAAGGGCAACCAGGCATTAGCCCTCCTCTTCAAGAAATTGATCCTTACATTCCCACAAACACAAAGGTGAGTATTACCACCCTATTAAGCCTCCCAAAGAGGCACAGAGTGACTACAGGTGACAGGGGCAGCCCTGTGAGGAATGGGCAGGGGAGAGGACCAAGGGATAGAAGGAGGGAGAGGGACAGAAAGACAGGAAGCAGGGAAAACCAGGAAATTCACCCTGGAGAAGTGAGGGAACTTTCTTACAAAGGCCTTGAATGCCCCACTTAGGAATTTATATTTTATCCTGAACACTATTGCAGGCTTATAAGCATGTTCTGGAAAGTTCTCTCCAGAGGCTATGTGGATTGAAAAGGAGGGTGACTCAAGAGGCCAGGGTTCAGTGAGGTAGCTGTTTTTGTTTTTGGGTTTTTTTTAACGGTTT